TGGTACAGGAACACTTCTAGGTGCATGTACAACTGGTCTAACTTCAGGTTTGACATGTAAACGTTTTTCACCTTTAATACACCCTAAACCTTCAAACACATCATATTTATTTATCATATCATGATAAATGTTGGACTGCAATGATTCTATACGTCTTATTAAGCCTAGTCTCTGACAAGCTTCAAGTCCTAACACTGGCTGTACATTTTGATTCATTATGTGAAATTCCACATCAAAATATTTATCTTTGTGCTCACAAACAAGGGTTACTTTACCTATTGGTTTGATTCTTTCTCCTGAATATGTAATCAATCTAGCATTTGTCTTACTGACTTTAGCACCTAACTCATGTATTATTCTTTCTGGAATTACATTACATTGAGCACCAGTATCTAGTTTTAACTCAACTATGTTATGTTTACGCTTATTATGAACATTTAACTTTACTGTCCACTCTTTTTTACTATGCTCATTTTCCATAGCATCCATGAAGAATTCATTACTTGACTCTTCATCACTATCACTTACTTCATTTACTTCATGTACTTTTTTCTTAGGTTTCTTTTGCGGATGACAATTATTCCTAGTCAAACACTTGTTTGCAAAATGGTTTAATTTACCACAAGCTTTTCATGTTTTTCCATAAGCTGGGCAGTTTTTACTTACATGATCATAACCACATTGTCTACAATTCTTAATGATACCACTCTTACTGTATAAGCCTACTTTATGCTTAAAATTTGCTTTGGTATGTCTTACTGTACTTATTTCACTTGATACAGTAGTTTCATTCTTTGTATTTACCTTCATGCTATCTCGTTGTTTTGAACTAGCTTCAGCTGCATGACATATTTCAATAGCCTTTTGTAATGTGAGTTCACTTTCTCTAAGCAGTCTATCTCTAACCTTATCACTTCTAATTCCGACCACAATCCTGTTCTTTATCAGACTGTCATGGAGCGTTTCAAATTCACATGACCTAGCTTTGCATCTCAAATCAGTGATAAACTGGTCTACAGTTTCACCTTCTTTCTGAAATCTTGTATTAAATTTATGTCGTTCAAAAGTAATGTTCTTCTGTGGTTCAAAATAAACTCGAAATTTCTCCAAAATATCTTTAATATTTTCATTGCATTCGTTGTCAGCAAATGAAAAAGTGTTGAAAATTTCTAAAGCTTCCTCACCTATTACATGTAGTAATGTGCTACTTTGTACCTTGTTTTGTTTTCGATCCAATCCGCTGGCTATAATGTATAACTCAAACTTCTGTTTCCACTTTCTCCATTCTTCAGCCATGTTCTCCATAGTGATTTTAAGAGAAGTTGGTGGTTTTAATCCGTTCATTTTGATTTACTTCTGACACCACGTAATGATAATATGTTGTAGACAGTAATTTATAGTAGGCTATTCTGACTTTCTTGTATGTTCCTTTATTGGTATCTTGTTATCAACTCCCTTAAGGCTCATGTGTCCTTACTCTATGTATCATACAATAGAGGGCTCACTCATAATCTTAAGTACCTTCATTACAAATATCATCTTTTTTTTTATTGTAAAACTACTGGAAACAATTGAATACATGATAGAAAGAAGGTCCCAAGTCCATTGGGTATGATTTTGAGAAAATTTTAAAAAACAATTTAATTCTGTAAAGTTTCAAGTTATGAAATTTTCCAATATATGGGAACTAAAATACATAAACCCACATACAAAACAGTACGTCACATGATCTGACGTGTTGCATGTACTACATACGTGGTCATTGAGGTGGGGTTAACTGTTCCAATATAGAGCTCTCCCAGGCTCAGAAGCATCCCCATTAACAGATCCTGATTTACCACTTTCTTTTGCTGCCTTGTTACATGGACCGTAAGAGAGGACCTCCATCAGCGTGCTGTACCAGCCATTGTCGTCTCAAATTTGCTGACATCTACCGTGGTAACCACTTCTGTATAAGAAAACCTGTTGACCTTTAGCAGGTCAACTCGGACGAGGACATCTCAAAATATACTTCCAAACACCAAGCGGCCGCCAAAAAACAACTTAGCTTGAAAAAAAGGCATCTGGATTGGGGGGGGGGGGCCTACCACCTACATGGCCTGGACAATATGGTGAATAGAACCACATTCTATCATTTTTTAGTACTCGTCGATATCGCTTCTCCCCACTGATGTCTGTATACATCTGTACAGGTCCAACATACCCCTTTCCTGGTCATCCATCAACCAACAATGGTCAGCTGCTGGTATACTTGCATTACTGTTATCATCCCCCCATGCTTTGCATCATCCTTCATACACAACATCCTTTAAATAACAAAATAAAAAATGTTTAGATTTTTTTGCCAAGTAGTTTCAGGCTGTGTTGCTGGATATTTGGGGGCAGGTGGTAGTGCTGCATCCGAAACATCAGAGTATTATTAGTGCCATGCAACCATACCTGTTTTACAACGCAAAACATCAAACGATTTCTTTGCATGTCAATGGTCTGCGCAGGTGCAAATCGATGGCGGTTCTTAATTCGCTGCGTTATTGTGGCTTCTACTTCATCACCCTTGGTTCGTCCATACAGACTATTTCCCCACTGCATTTTGTAAGCAGTGCGAAAGTTTTTGCATGATTTATCATGGGATTCAAGGTTGTTCCAGGCTTCAAAAATCTGTTCCCTTTTATCAGAGGGTATCACTGGTACCTTGTCCATGACAAGCGTTACTAACAATTGACTGAGAACCTCAACTCTTTCGAACCCTTCAATGTGTTGCTTGGTCATACATACATCTTCCTGTGAAAATACAGGAATATAGGTTAGCTATGGATTATTTTTAAGCAACTTCGGGTAAATTTGAATAATCTATATTTATGTAAATCCTAATTAAGATTTTACAAAAAAAAATTATGGGTGAGCTATGTCACAATTGACTTGGTTCGAATGTATTATTATTATTATTATTATTATTATTATTAATGGTATTACACATGCTGTTGTTATTATTGATATTATTATTATTATTATTATGTATATTGATTTTATTATCATAAGTGAAACTCTAGAGGGACATTAAAAAGTTCATATAATTGTGTTATATCTGTACCTGTATATTAAGAATTCTCAATAATTTGTTTCTTTATGGGTTCTGAGATAAGATGTTATAAAATGTTGGTTTTTTGACTTTAAAAAAAAACCACTTTCACTGTATACAGTAAAATAGTTAAATTGACTTACACATGATGGATCATGGGATACTGCTGATTCATTTGATGTGTATACAACATGGCAGGGTTTAACTTAAAACGAACAACTATCTGAATCATAACCACCATCATCAGCACCATCGTCAATAATGTTGGTGACTTCTTCCTCCATACTTGGGCCATCACTCTGCAAGTTTTCACGCGTAGTTGGATCCGATGACTGATTAAACAGGTAGTCAAGTCCAAGTAGTTCACTTGTTGCTTGTGCAGGAGTTCTAAAATTTTCCTCCTCACTTTCACCGAACAGTTTCTGGCACCTCATGTTCAGCCGTTGGACCAATGATGATGAGTAGGCTCTATGGTGTCTTCCTTTCCTACCAAAAACTGACTGTGACTGTCTGTCGGCATTCCACCGTGCAATGCCACTAATGAGGTACACCTGAAAGGGATGTGCAGCACAATGGGGCCCTGAAATGAAACATGAAAAAAAAACAAAAAACAAGCAATATAAATAAACAATGTATTGCTTCATACCTTATACTCAGCAATTCACAATTAGAGTTAATGTGCTGTGGACTGTCCGTCCCTGTTCCAAAAATAAATATAATAATAATAATCAGTGGAAGCACCAAGCCTGAACCCCCTCCCCCAACCAGGTTCCCAACTCCACGACAAGTTTATCGCATCAAAAATGTAAACAATGCAAATCTGCCTATCCAAATGTTGTAATTTTGATTGCCAATCTCTAAATAAGCACAATTTGGATTTTTTTTTTTTTTTTTTTTTTGCAGAGTAAAAAGTATACATACAATATTCTTGCCAGGAGTAAGTAATAGGCATAAGCCCAAACAGTAAGCTGCTCTTACTCCATCATCAAAAACAAATACAATGACAATACAATATAAATATATACAAAAAAGTAAATTCAAAATAAATTGATTTAACTAAAACAAAATGAAAAACAGAGATAATTAATAGTTATTATTAGTATTAATATTTTGAGATCAAGTGTTTTGTGAGCTGGGCTTTAAAATCCGAAATGGATGTGCATTGTTTAATTTCATTAGGAAGTTGTTCCCATAATCTAGGAAAAATAACAAAAGATGAATTTAAGAATGTATTAGTCTTGGCTTTCCAATGTATTAATCGCCCTTCACACCTTTCACTTGATGCTACACCATAAAAACTCTCCCCGTGAACCCTCAGATATTTCTTATTCTTGGACCCCGACCAACATTCTAGTCAGCCGCTAGGTTCAGTTTCCTCTGTCAAAAAGACACCTTTATACGAATAGGAAATTCTATGCATTAGCAATTTACAAACCTGGTATCATTTTTGGCAAATGACTATGAAATCCTTCCAGGCTGTTGTTTCCTCGGATGCATGTGTAATATGGGATGTCAACTCCATTTTTTGTACTAATCTTCGCTACCCTGTACATATGCATATCAGGTGGATCCTGTATGCATTCTAAATGCTTCTGTTGAGTGGACCAAACCTCATCTATTGCGGCATTGTATTTAAATAGAGGAACTCCATTTTCATCAAGTCTTGTGGTAACCACTTCTGCATAAAAAAAACCTGTTGACCTTTAGCAGGTCAACTCGGACGAGGACATCTCAAACTATACTTCCAAACACCAAGCGGCCGCCAAAAAACAACTTAGCTTGAAAAAAGGCATCTGGATTAGGGGGGCTACCACCTACATGGCCTGGACAATATGGTGAATAGAACCACATTCTATCATTTTTTTAATACTCGTCGATATCGCTTCTTCCCACTGATGTCTGTATACATCTGTACAGGTCCAACATACCCCTTTCCTGGTCATCCATCAACCAACAATGGTCAGCTGCTGGTATACTTGCATTACTTCTATCATCCCCCCATGCTTTGCAACATCCTTTAAATAACAAAATAAAAAATGTTTAGATTTAAATGTACATCTAATAGTAACACCAATTACCATTCTACTTAAGTGTTGGAATTCCTTGAATAAATTCCTACCTTAGTGGGTATTTGCTTGAGACCACTTTCAAATCGTTTTGAACCTGTGCTTTCCTTCTTTGTAGATGTAGAAGATCCACTAGCACTAGATGAAAAAAAAGACAAAGCTTGTGAAAAAAATAGAATAGAGTATACAAGGATGGATCTTCAAATTTAAAGTAAATTCTGTATTTAATATACAAATAGACTCCTAGTTTTACTTTCTAAGAACAGTACTTGACTTCTTTTAAAAATTGTGTTTTTTAATGACATATTTTGTTGTAAATTCTATATACAAATTTCTGAAATAAATAAATGAATGAATGATTTTTATAATGTCTTGTATTTATAAATATTGTGTAAATATATTATTTTTTCTATAGTGATTATATCAAACTGGAATGACAAGATGTAATAAATAATACACATGTTGTTACATCTCATTGCTGGACTATGTGTCCTTGGTCACTGAACTTTGGAATAAAAGTAGGAGCATGGTACAGTAGGAGCAATGTGGTAACAAGTTACACACCCAGAATAAGGCTACGGTCACACTAGAGTTTCAAGCCTGGCTTGACTCACCGCGGGTGAGATTTTCGTAATGTGACCGCATCTGCACCGACTCGCGCCTGGCGTGACCTCGATCTCAATCTACCTATCTCGATCCCGGCTCAGCACCCATATTGACCCTGGATTGTCCCTGGCGTGACCGAGATTGACATTTCCTCGTCGGCTGTCGACCAATCACAGTCGATGACGCCGTTGCGTTTAGAAGTTCTTGAATTAAAAACCCGATCTTCATGTATGTTCAATCAAGACGCAATCATTACTTTTCATAAAAGTTGATTCAAATTTTAATTAATAATAATGCGATTGATTTGGAGCGACCAGGAAACTGCTGACCTGGTAGATTTGTGGGACCAACCCGAGCTGAGAGACCGGATAGAAAATAAAAAAAACAAACAACAAAACGGGAATTTTCGGCGTGCTTGCTGACAGATTAGCCAGTCTCGGACATGAGAAGAGAACGACGGCCCAAATTCAAACAAAAGTGAAGGCATTGCGAGCCCAATACAAGCTGATAAAAGATCAGTTGAAGAAGAGTGGTTCGGGCACGTCTGGTGTAAAATCTTTGATTGCGATCCACCCAATCACACGCGTGTATATCGAATCCCGTGAAACAGAGTTGGTGAAACTCTCTCTTTATGGCTCTGCTGTTTCGACTTTCATAATTTAGAGGTCAATCCAACTAGTGTGACCGACCCAGAATTTCGAGCCTGGCTTGAAATCTCACCCGCGGTGAGTCAAGCCAGGCTTGAGACGCTAGTGTGACCGTAGCCTAATACATTTTATAGCTGTCATGACTCATTCATATTGAAATACCATAAAATATAAATAGCCTGAGTGGTGAAAATAATCATCCAATGATATTATGTAATAATAGGGTTTAACTGGAGCCAGGACCTCCCATTAAACAGCAAGCATTCTTTTTGTGATTTTAAGGTGTCAATTGTTATCACCTCTATGTAATGAGTAGGAATAGCTACAAACTGAACTATTTTTTTTTTTGTTGCCCAACTACTTAAAATATATATATTTTTAGAAAACTCTAATATTTAAATCTATTGTAATAAAAGAATTTTTACTGTTTTCGATATTCAACAACACAAATTTAAGAATTATTTGGAGAACTAAGAATTAAGTTATAACACACTTAAATAATGCAATATTATTAGTAAATACCTTAGCAGATGTGTCCTCTTTTAATTTTGGGGAGTTGATGAGAAAACAGAGGAAGAAAATCTAGCAGATGAAATACTTTTTGGCCTGGTAATTAGTGAGCTTTGTTGAAGTGATTGCTTTGATGTAGACCCTCTTTGTATTGGTCCTAAAGAGAAATATACAATTGTAAGTATTAAACAATAATGTAAAATAAAATTGAATGATCAGGCATTCGATAATTAACATGTATATTTTTTTTAATTTTAAGTTTCCAAAAGTGAGGGAGAATAGTGACTGTATTATAAAATGGCCCCCCCCCCATTAAGATTTCCTCAATCTTTATTAATAAAGATTGATTGATTGATAAAATGCTCAGATCGTCGGAGCACCACGGGCCTTCGCCCCCGCCGAAGCTCCACCCCTGGACCCCGCCCTCCCCTAAAAAAAACCCTATAGAATACAATAGAACACATTAATAATTAGTACCTAGGATTTTTTATTCAGTTGCCTGTATTGCATAAATTAGGCATAAACTCATTAATGTATAACTGCCTACATGGCTCACCCATTTACCTAGCCTAGGTCGCCTAGGCTAGGCCCCCCTCTAGGCTAGGCTAGTACTGCAGAGAGGTGGTCTTGAGATGGGGAGCGGACGTAATGCCGCAACAGGTTTCGCATCTTCGCCGCATCTTTTTCTAAACAAAAATAGCCTAGCCTAGAATAACCAAAAATATTGGCTGTACGACTCGTGCTGTCAAGTTCTTTTCAGCAGTTTTAAACAAAGAAACTGAAGCAAAATTAAAGAAATTCTGGGGAAGTTCTCGGAGAAAAAAAATCATCTTCATTCACCGAGCGTTTCTATGAAGAAGCCCCTCCTCCTCATTAGCATCAGACAGTAAGCCAATCACTGATCATTTATTGTAGACTGTAGAAAATTAAATCGCAGACAATTAACCAACCAATGATCAGTTATTGTAGACTTCGACCAATCACATGCCGAAAATTGTAGACTTCTTCCTGCATAATTGCACTACTGTAGACACCACTCCAGAGGTGCCGCCAAACGTGTGGAACTCGGGTGTATAATTTATGGCAGCGGGGACTGCGTTCGCGCTAATAATGAATTAAAAGCAAAATGAGCTAACAATGTTGTATACGAGTTTATTATTGTGATATATATATATCTTCTGTTAATACTGATACACCGTAATTTCATTTATATATATATATATATATATAGATATATATATATATACTACCTTTATTCGGCTCTTAAGGGGAA